AAGAATGGAGATTATTTCATTTAATAAATGTTTTGTATTCATATATAAGTTGTTCGGGTTTTTTCATTTAAAAAGCGACATTAATTTCTTCACGACCTAATACACAAGTTACGGTGTTAATTTATCTCTTTATCGAATATAGGCCGTACATAATAAAGACAAGCAGACTTATAGAGTTTGGTGTCTTTGATTAGAATTCTTTTGTATTATTCTAGAAACCCTGTACTTAAAGAAGCATTGTTGCAATAAAGATACCAATTTGACCGCAAATGTTTTATGGATCTCTGCTAGTTTATTTACATAAAGCACAAAATTTCAAAGGCAATCCTATGAATTTACTTCTAATTAAATTCTGATGTTTTAAATCACATTAAACAATCGCATATTTATTATCTATTAATTATTACCTACAAAACCAGACAGCGTTAAACAGTAGAAGTTGTTGTTTATATCAGTGGATTAGTTATCTTTGTTTTTGAAACGGCTGTAGGCTAGAGTGACACTTTAACACATATCTTCAAAGAACGTTCCTCATTGTAAATAATAACAAGAAGTATACGCAGTACACATTAAGAGTAAAATCGCAAGCCCATTTGAAATAAGTATCTATTTCCTGGGGAGCTTGACTGTAGAAATATGAAGTTAGCAATGCCAATGAGTTTTCTGAATTACAGTCGGAAAACTACGCATAGAAAGAAAACATGATCATTAGTCAAAGGTTGGTATGTTTTCAAGAAGGGGTACATGACGAATAGAGTATACCCGATAAGGTTTTAATAAAGAATGTCACTATAGTCTTGCCTCGAATTTTACTCAACTATACTATCAAATTATCGTCTTCCGATGAAACAGCGGTGAGTCTTCAGATTTAGAAAGCTGAAATCAGGGATTCGATTCCCCCTCGGTAAACACAGCAGCCAGCCAGATGTAGCTTTACTATAAGAAAACACATACATTATTAAATTCTCAAGATAAAGCTTATAATCATTTAAAGAGTTTATTTCATATAAATCCCAGAATGTCTCACACATTCTCTATCTTAATTTTCACGCAAGAGAATTGTGATCAGTTTGACATGACGTATTTGAGACATGCTAAAGTGAAAAATCGATTTCTTAAGAAACCCCTTAACTGTATTTTCAAACGGCCCACATGAGATTTATTTAACTAATCAATAAATTCCAGTTTCATGTTGGTATAAGCTGCATTCCGATCACCTACAGAAAGGTTTCGAAAACATTTATTATAATATCATCATTTTTGTCTATCCGCAAATTTTCACCAAACAAAAAATATTAATGCTTCAAAGATTTGTTAATGATATTTCCTTGTGTTCTTTTGCAGCAAAACCGTGGACGGAAACAATCAACTTCTGTGACATGGTTCATCTGTCTGTATAAGGCATGTAGTGGAAGAATTTGAAAGACTTAAGTTATTATTTGAGCAAGTTCTTCTTCTGTAGATTAAATTTACTTTATTCTCCATCATTAGTTTTACTGCTAGATAAAGAAAAATTCGTACTGCCGGGTATCATTTAGAACTTCCACCAGACAACTTCAGGTTATTAATGTTTCCTACCATCTTGGGGGTGGAAAAGGTGGGTCGTCATCCCAGTGGCGAATATCTCGCTCCAGCTCAAATCTAGTGTAATGGATTAGATCAGCTGCCCTGGCCGCATTACACTTCAGTCCATTCTGCTTCATAGTTTATTTTCCTTTTTTTTTTTTTCATTTTTCAGAGTTAAAAGAAGAGAGGAGAGAGAACAATAGAGACACTGTGCAAACAAAACGTCTTGGATCGTTGGATCGAATATACCGCTAAAGAAAAAATTTTGATATCGAATAATTTTAATGCATTGTGAAGTGGGAAAATGTTCATCCCTATTCAGTCATGAATAGGGAATGAGACACAGATGCAGGAATGCACTTTAGAAGAAATATTTACTTACTTTATAAACTAGTCAAACAAAATTTAAATCAATATTCTAACTGAACTTCATATGTGGCAGGTGATTAAAAATCCTTGAAGTGAAAATGTAATACTAAATCGCTTTAATACATTGGAGGTAAAATCATTAAAAAATATTGAGAAACATAAAATAACTTAAATACATTAAATAAGTAAAGAAACTAAAAGTTATAAATTGGTTTATACATTTAAGAAGCAGACAATGTGTCACAAACTACGAGTTGTAGTTAAAGATATCTAGTAAAAGGTAAAGGAAAGACTGATAACATATGATTGGTTTGAAGTGAAATATCTGCCAGTATATTTCTACTATGATGTAACAGTATGCAGACGAGAAGCAGTTGATCTATCAATATGGACAATTTAGTTGCAACATGAAATAAAACTGATATAAAAGTATAGTATAAAACGTTTAATGCATGAATAGAAAGATAAACTTCTTGCTAAAACTTAAAGCATTCTACGTTAATTTTAGACTTAAAAACAAACAAAACATGTTAAATTAAAAGTGAACATACTGTCTTGTTGAGTTAAATTTGGAAAGAGTAATAAGTGGTAATGTTAGAAGATCTAAATATACAAAGGGATAAGTTCGTTATACTACAACAATTGTTAATATGCACATCAGCAGGTCATGTGACAACTACAGCCGATACAAAGTCGCAATGGAATTCAATGTATCAGAACTACATATTGATATTGTTTACCATATTGTAGGTAGGGTGATGCCCCAGAAAATTAATCGCTTTTGTAAAGGGTATGTAACAACCTTTTCCTATCCAACATATTCATTCACTCAGATCATATAGATGTGGCCAGATAGGAGATTTAAAGTTTCCAAGACTAGGACCTCCCTTGTACTTATTCGCATTGGAAAACAAAATAATATCAACAACCAAGGTAAGTGCAGCGTCTTGTAACAGGTGAGAATCCACAAACACATAAGTCAATGGTAAAAGCCGTCCACGTGGCTCAGGCAACATTACGCAAAATAATCAACTACGATTTCTGTCTAAAAAGTGACACAAGTCACGAATACACAAGCTACTTCCAGGACATATCCGTTCAACTGTCGCATACTTCAAACAGCTGGAGAATGAAATGGGTATTCATGCTTTTCCATACGAAAACATACTGGCTAAGTTGCTTGACGCAGCACTTATGGTTTTCTGTGCGATCAGACAGTTAAAACAGGCGATGAGAAATTACTGTTTTCGTACAATATATGGATGATGGAAAACATGTAAGGAGTAGTCGAATACTTTGACAATGATAGCTTTACAATGAAGATTTTTTGCAATGTAATCTACGCTACGGGGACGTTGTCAATACGCTGGTGGTCAGATAAAGTATATCTGGACGATCTTACGTGGTATTTAACGACTTGGTAAGGCTCCAAATTCATTTTAATATGCGTATTCAATACTCTGTATACTAAACAACAAAGAGGTACAAACAGAAATTGTATCACGATAAAGGCTGAAATTATTTCGAATTAATCATCCAATACCAGGAAATCCACACAAAAATATAATTGTAAATAATTTATGAATTATAATGATTCGCATTGTCTTTGAAGTTTTTATCTTTCTTTTTATTATATCTGCGATATTTTATATTTGATGTCTGAATAATACGCCCCCAGTGGCACAGTGATATGTCTGCGGACTTGTACTGCTAGAAACCGGGTTTCGATACCCGTGGTGGGCAAAGCACAGATAAGCCATTGTGTAGCTTTTTGCTTAATTCCAAACAAACCCTTATAGCACGATAAATCGTGGATCTAATTTTTTCATGATAAAGACTGGTTTGAATCCAATTTGTTGATCATGGATATATTTTTGGAGTTATAATTTCGTCATTTTTCAAAACTTTTACAGTTATTAAGTTAAATATATTAATTTCATTTATGAAACAAATATGCGTTATTTTTAAAAACTATATAATATTAAGTCGTCAAGAAATTAATGTCGCGTTTTGGAACACTTTCATTAACCAGCCCCAAAAACGTACATCACGTATTATAGTTAAATCAACCGCCTAAACGTCAAGTTAGTGTAGCCTATATAATATGTAAAGTTTAGTATACTCTAATCCCTTATAGTGATGTCATACGACGAGACACACATTCGGAACGGAATGGAATGGAATGATGTTTGAATACAAGAAGGGAAAGATCTCCTCTGTAGCCACAAAGGATATCAAATAAGTTTATGGAAATATTTTGAGCGTTCGTAAGTGTCAACGAAATTTCAGAAAATTGCGTTCAGGTGACTTTAGCCTCAAAACTGTGATGGC